TAACGACAAACATAAAGCTAAAAAAAACTCACATGAGGAATCTCGTAATTAAGAACAAATTATGTTTTTTTAATCTCATACTAAACTTACAATCATTGATCGCTTAATCATCATTTATTTAAGGTTAAGTCAATTATCTTTGATGATGATGTAACAGTGTTAAACCCTAAACTTACAATCAGTAAACTTAAAATTCTTGGTCTTTCTACCTTATGAATTTTAGCTTTTGATTTTGCTATTTATGTGTAAAACAAAAATTAATAAGGTTTGATTACCAAAATTTAGAATGTCATCTCTGTTGCAGTGTTACATATAGTTTTAAGGGATTTAAAGTAGTTTTACATACTGTTATATCAGAATATCAAACGAATCCGATTTTTTTTTGGCTTTATAGCTGTGTAACATATGATTCGAAATTAGACTTACTTTTCGTTACCAAACATATACAGTAGTCAACATTAAAACGTATTGGATGAGATTCGATCTTTTACCCAACCAACATATATAACTAATATACCATCATGAAAGGTATAAACAGTTTAACTCGCCTATATATATACATATATATATTGGTCAATAACTCTCCTATATATATAATACTTTTTTTGGGTCAATAAATCTCATATATATATATATATATATATATATATATATATTAATACCAAAAAACAAAGAGGGAAGTCTGAACCAACAAAAAAAGTTGTGATGATGTGCTTTATAAGGTGATTATATATATATATACCTGCCAAGAAATCGTATTAACTTACGTTTGTGAATGTGAAATATGAATGATTATATCTTTCGAAATATTTAAATATGTTTAAAACCAGGAACACATATCATCTATCTTTTAAGAGAGTGTTTATTTTTTCTCTATTTCATAAACGTTAAGGAAATACTGTTTATTTTTTATAATTTGTGGTTTACTTTTCTTATAATTTTTTTTAACAAATTTGTTTCTGAGATTTTTTTGTAGACTCATTTACATAATATACAATCTTTTGTGTATTGAATTATATATTTTCAAGAATAACAACTGTGAAAGTCTTTAATCCAGTGATTAACCAAACATCTAGATAAATTTTAGACAAAGTTGGGATTAGATTCCCAAAAATGCAAATTGGATATTCTAGAGTATAACATATGAAAACGTATTCGTGTATTGCTATGACTATAATTGTATATCGTAAACGTGGTTCAAATAGAACTATAGATATCTACATTTAGGTGTGTTATGACTACTTTGTCGCAAATTCCTTCATCATGAAGCTTCCAACATGGTCATGTCCATGACGGGTAATTATAATCATTTATACAAAAATAGTAGTATAACTCAAAATTTATATTATATGTTTAACAGGTTTGAATTATATTCAATAATTGTGCATATAATTATAAACCTAAAACGAGAATTCTCTAAACAAACAATGTCTCTAAATTGATGAAATAACAATCTCGTACATGACGTCAATAAACAAAAAAAAATCTCGTACATATAAAGTTATAAACAATAGAAATGCCCAAATGTAAGCTTGCATCGTTCACAATTCTTAGGTATCTGAACTAAACAATAAAGAACTTTGGTACGCACAAAAGTTATAACTTCATCGTCCAACCTTTCAGGAGCTCGTTGAGGGTCAAACTAACCTTAACATTTAGTAATATTTTTGCCCTAGTTCATCATTCAGAATCTTTGTGGATTTTCATTGCCAGAATTAAAAACAAAAATCTTTGTGGATTGTCCTTGCCATGGTGCTAACTTTTTTGTTCCTTAATTATCTATTCAACTATATATCGTTGTATATTTATTTATGCTCTTCCCTGGAGATCATAAATCAATAATTCTATATCATATAAAAATATATGTTCCAGCTTGTAGTCTTCTCAGACCAGTGACTAACTTATTAATAATGCGCTTAGCGATGTCATAGTAGTAGTACTCACATCATATAATAATTGAAGAGGACAAAAATTAATCTCATTCGGTGCTAAATCAATTACCTCGAATGGTAGTGGCTATGAGTTCTTGGTGCTGTTCAAGGCTCAAGCCATTCCGATCTTGAACATAGGCTTCAACGCAAGCCTTTTATTTAGCCGGATACAAACAAATCCCAAGGAACCCCTATATAACCAATTACAATGTAAACTTGAACTTTGTCAAGAAGATGAATTTGATAATACCGTCACTGAGTCCATTATTATATTGGCTATTTCCCTTTGGTGGTGGTTTTATAGATAAGTATTTTTGACGTATTGATACTATACTAGCTAGGGGTGTTAAAATCGACCATTTTAGAGCGTGATCCTTCAAATTTTACTTTTTTTTCTTCATTTTGAAAAAAAAAGATAATGATTTTTTTTTCAATAATGCTTCCATTTCACTTTTAAAATGAAGAAATGAACAGTTTCATATTTAAAGAAATACTATTTATTTCTTTATTTTTGAAGGTGGACTTTTTTTTTACAAAATATATATGTAACTTTTTATATGTTTTGATTTATACTCAAACAAAAATTATATTTTTGACCAATTAATTTTAAGAGTATGAGTTTATCAAACCAAATTATAAAATAAAAATGCAATAATCACAATGAAAAATACAATAAGATATGATAAATAGAAAATACAAGATACATTGTTCCATGCAAAGGTGGAAGAAGAAAGTTGGAAAATCGCGAACCAACCTGAAGACGACGATGATGCAGACGTTGAGACGATGGTCCCCCCTTAGCCTCTGATATCTCTACCCGAGGACCTACGGATCCTGATATACCGGATTGATGCTTCTTGGATCAATCACAGACTGGTTAGCGGCTTCGGCTGGAGTTTTGAAGATGGCAGTGAAAATGAGATTTTTGGACTACAAGAATGTCGCAGAAGCCTCTCGACTCTTCACGCCAAGATGGGTTGCCTCCTATGGGCTATGTCATGCTTGAGAGAAAGACAGATGATTTCAGTTCATTTTCAGACTGTTTGTTCAGACCTTGTGAGCATGTCTGAATCTCCAGCAGATTGGTCCTTTATGACAGAGCTGGAATCTTTTCGTATCCTTCGAGAGAGCTATTCGGAATTCACTTTATCTTATATCTCCAGAAGTTTAAATATCCGGACGGAATAGTCTTGCAAAAGAAGCTCGAACAACAGAATTATTTTTTTCCCAAATCAATCATACCGAGCCAGTCGAGGATGGTTCTAGGACCATTTCTCCGACTAGCCACATATAAAAAAATTAGAAAATACAAGAATATAGTCAACCAAAAAAATGAAAATACAGAACATAATGAACTCATTCTCATTTTCAAAATGCATTAACTGATCATTTCTGGAAAAAAAAATTGTATGTCTATTAGTACACATAAGACTATGCTATAGTTTATTTTTATTTTTATTATGTAGTGTAAATTTATTTATATACAATAAATTTTTAAGTTGAACAATTGCTATAAATAAATAAAAATTGGTGCAAGGTTTGTAAAACTGAAAAGTAAAGAATCTTGCTAACAATTAATAATAAAATAGAGATAAAATATAGTTAAGAATATAATTCTTTTTAAAAATAAAAAAAAAATTCCAATGGTTTCTTTATTTTTTCTTTTATTTTTTAAAAAATTTCATTTTAAAGGAAAAAACGAAGAAACTATTGGAAATGCTCTTATCTCGATTATGGATACCAAAAACTCGCCGAATTCATTATTGCCAAGTTAAGCACAAAAGCTTTTTTTGGTCAATATTTCAAAAATATATTTGAAAAACTCATATTCTTAAAAAAATGTTGACAAAAAACAAAAATTATGCTTAACCCGTTAATAATAATAGTTTGGCGGGTTGTGGGTATTCACAAACGGAATAATATGGTCCCTTTTGAAATCCTAGGCAATGGGTCCATGGATTAACCCTTTTAAACAGAGAATTTTGTCAAATCTCCGATCGTCGCAGAAAGCTTGACGATTCGATTAGCTCTCCACCAAGGGAAGGAAATGGGGATCAGAAGGATCTGCTTAGCATCGGACTCCAAAAAACTGATCCAGGCAATATCGAACCATTCCCCGATCAGGGAGATCTATGGGATCTTGTTCGATATCCACCACATCTCCTCTTTTTTCGATTCTGTAACTTTCATTTTCTTATCGAGGGAGAAAAAAGCCATGCCGACAGATTGGCTAAATCAAGCCTGTGTAACGGTCTTGTGGTACAGGAGGAGAACCATTCGGTTTAAGCTTGAAATGAAATGAATTTTGAACAACAAAAAAAAAACCTACTTAGACCATCTCTAATGCATATCTCTATTTTTTCCTCTAAAATAGAGGTGCATTTGTCTCCAATGTTTACCTCTATTTTTCTTTCTAAAAAGAAATATTCTCAGTATATTTTTTTTTGTTATTTATTCTTAACATCTTTCATTAAAAAAGTTTATGAATTGACCTTAATTATTTCTTTTTTACAAAAGTTTACATAAATTATAATAATACTAACTTTGATAAATAAAATTTGTGAATGAATCCTTATTTTACTTATTATAAAAGTTTTTATAAATTATAGTTTTAATCACATTTATATTCAATTAAATATAGTTATTACATAAATAGTAAGATTTAAAAGTTAAAGGACTACTTTATAAATAAAAAAAGTCTACCTCTATTATAGAAAGAAAATAGAGTTCCTTTATATTTGGAGAAAAAAGTAGCAATTTTTATTTTTATTTTAGAAGTGAAAATTGGAGCATGAACTCTATTTTCACTTTAAATTAGAAATGAGAAATGGGTTGGAGATGCCCTTAAACCCGCAAGCTCCACCGGTATTTAGCTCATGTTTTATCAGAGCTAAAAATCAAATCAGCAAGCTTCATAAATCAAAACTGGACTTGTAAGTCCCCAAGTTTTGGGCCTATATTTAACATCAGGCTAGACAAAGGCTTGGAGGATTTTCTCGAGATTTAGGGTCTGGTCATAGTAATTGTGAAATCGTAATTTTTGTGGAAGAGCTTTAAAGTCTTCAAGGCAAAAGCAAAGAACTGAAAATAAGAATCAGTAGAGAAACACATAAAGAACATTACTGCAAACTGCAACTATGAATTTGGAGATTTAGATACGAAAAATTAAGTTGACATTAATGGAGGGATGATACATGTAATCATACTACTCATCTAAGAATCCAGATTCAGAGGCAAAGGACTCTAACTCTTTAGCTTTTTCATCGGTGAAACCAAGAGTTGCCAGTATCTTGTGACCTGGAGACTCAACTTCAGACCAAATCCCTAGCAGTATATGCGCTGGCATAATCTCCCCGATACCTCCTGTAACAAGAAAGCAGTGAAACAACGTTGCTTAAGATTCTACCTTGAAATTGAAGTATGCATTATGCATAAATCGGGACATTATACAACCTAAGAAAATAAAAGACATTTGTCTCTCGGATGATATAAAACTTTTCTCCAAATAATGTTGCTACTCAAGACGAAGTTTATCACCATAAAAATGCAGCTCGGTGAAATTGAGATTCACAAATTTACAGAGACAAGTTGAGTTACAAAACCTGCTTTTAGATTCTGATTCACAGCAAAGTCAAGTGCTCTTTGAGCATCTTCAGTTAGAGGAGGATGTTCCGGGCTAAAGAAATACAAGTCTGCCTTTCCTAGTAACTTGATTGTCTCTTCACGAACTTTGTAAAGCATGATCCCATTAGCCCGCAAGAACTTCGAAGTAAAACTAGTTCCTGTCCATCAGATTAACACTATCTTATTCCAATAATCATTACCAAGAAGATACTAATGGAGCTTTAAACACGGACTACATTTAGTTTGATTGCAATAAAGAAAAAGTTTGTACCTTCAATCAAAATACCCATGAGAAGTGCTTCAGTTCCAGTATTTGGATACTTGAGCTTCCTAGCTTCGAGCTCTCCCATGGCAAATGATTTGATTCCTCTCCATGACCATCTACATTAATACATTTCCCTCAAATTTCTCAAAACCCTAAATCAATCTCAGGAATTTCAAAACACATTGCAAGCATTTCAATCCTCACTAAGAACAACACTTACTTGGGTTTTTTCGCATCAGCAACCACAGATTCCGGATTCCTGTAATCAAAATCAAACACATAATCTTGTAATTGAACCAAAAAAAAAAAAACTGAAATTGAACAATAATCAACCAAGATTCGAGAAAACGTACGCGGTGGGTAAGCTGGAAACGACGGCGATTGGGATCCGTCGTCGCGTGATTGAATTCGTTCGTAGAACGGAGGCGGAAGAATCGTGAGAGAGAGGGGAATCAACGCCCAGCCATGGACTCGTCAGATTCAAGGATTTTACAGGGTTTCTCGTAGGGAAGAAGTATAATGGAGAAGATAGTTTCTGTTTAGAGAAGGAATCGATTTGTAGTATCATTGGATTCGCCATAGTAAATTTGCAACATGATTGAGCAGCCATTTCTGTAGCGAAGAAAGGATTGAGTATTTTGGATAACGGGAAAAATGAAGAAAAGAAAATTTGGGGGCAGGAGATTCCTGGAGGAAGAAGACCATTGAAACGGCGCCGTTTCAAATTATCATTTGAAATTGTTGACGTTTAAAAAGCCCGAAAGTATACGTGTTGACGTTTGAAAAGCCCAAAAGGAGTCTTTCTGATATTTATAGGCTTAAAAGTTGAAACAAACCCAATAAGGGCTCATTTCGTAGAGCATGATCTTTTTTTTTTTAATAATATTAAGGCTCTGTTCGTTATTTTATCTAGATGTTGCATCTAGATTTTGCATTTAGATTAGCATCTAGATACAACATCTAAATATTGTTTATTTTTGAAATTAGGTTTTGCATCAAGATCCTACGTCTAGATACTAAATTGTTCGTTTGTGAATTTAGAAAAATAGTTGGATGTAAAATATATAAAATGACTAAAAAGAATTATTATTTTTAATAAATAATATTTTTACCAAATTAAGTTTTAAAAATATATGAAATTTTTTTTTTTTGCATTTTTTTGTGGGAAAACATGATTTTTTACTTGACGGAAAATTTATTTACTGGAATTTTGAGTTTTTGACGGAAAATAAAGATATTGTGTTTTTGGCAGAAAATCGAGATTTTACGTTTTCGGCGAGAAACCAAGAGTTTTCATTTTTAATGGAAAATCGAGATTTTGCGTTTTTGGCAAGAAACCGAGAGTTTTTTGTTTTTGGCGAGAAATCAAAATTTTGCTTTTTTGACGAGAAATCAAGATTTTTCGTCTTTGGCGGAAAATGGAGAGTTTTTGTTTTTGGCAAAAAACCAAAAATTAACGTTTTGGTGGGAAATTTGTAAGTGTTTTGTTCAAGAATTGAACTCTGTTTTTACAGAGTTTGAAGAACAAACCTTAATGAAAACAAGGTATAGAAGAAACTTGATCTTTATTGATAAAAAAAATATTACACACACAGTATGTTTTGTGTTTGACTCCATCTATTTATACAACATGAAAGGATGTGTTTGAACAGGTGTTAATTAAAAAGACACAACCATATGAACCAGCAGACACAACTCTACGAACAGACACAACTATAACATTTGTGACTCTTGAGTAAATAACTAACTTATACTAATATGACTTTAGGTTATGAGATTTGATTATAGTTCAACAAAATCAAGATTTTTTGTTTTTTACATGAACCAGATGCAAACGCTGCATCTGAACTCCCTATTTCTCAGCATCTATAATATCCAGATTTTTGAGATGCTAATCAATTTGCATCCAGATGCTGCATCTGAACACAAATTTTTTTTTGAAAAAACAAACAACATTTGGACATTTGCAGCTAGATGCAGCATCCAGATACAGAAACGAACAGGGCCTAAATATAAATTTATTCAACCAAAAAGAATGTGTACAATAAATGCACCATTTTTGTGTTTAACTGTTAAAAAAGGATTTCTTGTTTGGGCTCATCGTATGTTTACTGTGACAAGTATTCTGAAACCTTTGCCAGAACCTTTCCACTATTGTCACTTCTATAAAGAAAAATCACAAAAATGTATTAAAAATCGAAAAATTTTAGGCCAAAAAATTTTTAAACTTTCCAGAATTTGTCAAACAAAGCACGAATACTGAGTCTAGCCAAATAAATATTCAACTTTTGTTGACTTTCAAAAATAATAATAATTTTTTCGTTAATTTGCCACATCAGCATGCCGTTTATTAAATTAACAGAAACTTTAAATGCCATTAACTCTATTATTAGTGTTGGAGTTAAATCGATACGACATCGTTTTAAATTTCTGCAATTTAAAAAAAAATTGTCTCCACCAAAGTTCGAACTCGTGACCTAAGAGTGCATAAAGGAAATTTTTGCCATTGAACAAGTGACACTTTCGAACAAAGGCGTAATATAATTCTTTTATTACTTTCTAACAGGAGAGTAACATAAAAATGAGTTTATGTATGAAACCCTAATTTCACCTTCTTTTAGATATCAAAATCGGCCGAAATTAACTGACAAACAATGAATCATTTAAAAACAAATTAAAAAAGTGGATTTCGTTAGAAGATAGAAGGAATCTCTAACTGCTTTATGCGTAATTGCAGTATGACAGCGAAGAATTTTTTTGAACATTGTCCCAGAAATCAGATTGATGTTGCATGTTCGTGTCTTGAATTCATTTGGGTGTTTAATTAAATAAAAAAAAATTGATCAGCTTGAGACGTACACAAAAGAATTGGAGAAAAGAGAGTGACGAAGGAGAAATTAGTTAGGGTTTCACTTTCAAAATAATAAAAAAAGTTGTATTATCCATTTGTTTGAAAGTGTCACTTGCTCAGTGGCAAAAGTCTCTGTTAAACACTTTTAGGTCGTGAGTTCGATTTTTGATGGAGACAATTTTTTTAAAATTACAAATATTAAAATGATATGTCGTTTAAAGTTTATGTTAATTCTATAAACGGCATGTTGATTTAGCAAGTCAACAAAAATTGAGTGTTTATTTGGTTAGACTCACTATTCGTACTTTGTTTGGCAAATTCTGGAAAGTTTAGAATTTTTTTGGCCAAATTGTCATTAAAAAACTGAAGAACTTAAACTTTGAGTCGAAGTTGATTATGGTGGTTTAGTGGCAAATCAATCGATTAGTCCATTTTCATACTTGTTGTTTCATGTGTTGCAAAATGAGCTTACTCGATTTCTCTCATTCTTATCAACAAGCCTTATTATTTGAGGTGATAGTTTTGACCATTTCTTTTACGCCATATGTGGTTTATGGTTATTTGAAACACATATTCAATAATGAAATGAATTACCCAATTCGAGTAACGATTAATGATTTTTTTTTTAAAACAGAAAATCCAAAGGATTTCTACAAAAGTTAGAGAGTCGAAACTCGTGTTAATCAAACAGATTCATACTCCCTCCGTTTCACAAAGAGTGTCGTTCTGACACTTTTTTTTTATTTTAAAAAGAATGTTGTTTTAGAATTCCAATGTAATTTTTAACATAAAATATCATTTTTAACCTCAATAAATTCAGAAAATTAATTATAAATATGATTCCAATAGTCATTTTCTGCAAATTAATAAGGGTATAAGAGACATTTTATCTTATTTCTTAATTTGTGTGAAGAATGTCAGACATTTTTTGTGAAACGGAGGGAGTATAAGGTAATAAGAAGTTTGAGTAACTGAAACGAAAATATCAAACCACAAAACAAAATTCAATAGTCTTTCTTTAAGAATTATGAAGAAACTAAATGCTGAAACCTAACTTCTCTTCTCCTATATTTCAAATAGTAATGTTTTTCATGTTTTGCTTCTCTTCTTTTGTCCTTTCCTTCTCTTCATTTTCTAATAAGTCAACGTTTAGAAAAACAAGGCATAAGAGAAGTTCATATCTCTTTATCTCCGTGGCATGATAACAGATAGTTTAGTTTTCATACATGATCTGGTGGTGAGAATAGAAGGGGAAAAAAGAGTGTTATCTTCTTAGATGTTTACATATACTGTATATTTACAAAATTAAGTACATAAGAAAAATAAATTTCTGTTTACATTTGAGATTTTTTTTTTTGTTATTGTCCAATTACAGAATTATGATTTATAACAAACAAATCTAACTATGTATTGTACATACGATCGCGATAATTGATTTTATAGACGGTGAATCTAATAACACATTATTTTTATTTCACTGACATTTACAACGGACAGAATTTATCGTAACACACAAAGCCGAATAGATTAAACTGTAGTAAACCGAAATTTCCTTTGCATCTACAACCCGCAAGACTTTGTATTCACCAATAATTAGAACCTAAATCTTGTATATAACATTAGAACCTTTTAAATCTTTTATCAATTTACTCGATCAAACCGGCTTCCACAGAATAAATTTTTACTTTAAAAGTCAAAATCTTGGAACAAGTGGTGTTTTTTAAGATTTTAATTATCCTTCTTACCAAGACAAGTACGACTTTGTATAGTCTCTCATAGATTCCTTGTATCGAATCATTGTCCGACAAATTTTAGAAACTCTCTCTTTCTCTTTCTCTCTCTCTCGTGCAGCAGAGCCAAGAATCCAAAGACGATAAAAAAAAAAATATCGCCAATGGATCGTACCCACCAACAAGAATCCACGACCCGACCCGGAAACACCGTCGTCCTCTCCATCGACTGTCTAAAAGGAAGCTCGAAAAGCGAGGAATGGAGCGGCGATATGCTTCAAACCGGAGACATAGTGGAAGAGATCCGAATCGGGTCAGGACCCGGTTCGGCTATTTTCAAAGCTCCGTTTAAAGGAGGCAAAGCTTGGCTCCAGAAGGTTCTTCACAATTCTTACAGGAACAAAGAAACTTCTATCGTTGTCCGAGTCAGACGTGGCTCCGATGATTTATCCGATCTCTCTGCTTGTATTGTTCCTAACGAATCCGCCGGTAAAAGACAGTACATGCTCAGATCCATTGATGACCCGAATTATACAGTTGGGTTCTCGGATCGTACTGAGTCGGATTGCCTCGGTATTCAAGGTGAGTTAACTCGGTCGGTTCAATATCTTTGGCCTTTGGTTATTTTTGTTGACTTTTCTGGCTTTCTTGTTTTTTTTTTTGCCTTTGCATTTCTTAGTTGGTGAGAAATTCAATTAATGCTGTTATTATTAGTACGATTTTGTTTGTTCTTTTATGAAAATTGTACGAATTTTATTGTTTGATCAAGAAACAGAGTCTTAGCTTGAATTTTCAAATAAGTGATTTTTTTTATATGTTTACTTTGTACCAATTTTTCTTGGTCATAGTAAATGATCTTTTGACATACAAATATGTTTCTTTCATTTGAATTTTATTATTTCACTGTTAACTTAAAAAATAAAAGTAAGAATGTTTCTTCAGGGAGATATTTTAGTGTTTTGACTTACAATTCGTAAACGTTTGTTTCGTCTTGCAAAAACATCGAATTATATATACATATTTTTAGTTGTTATTATTTGATCATTGTTAAATGATTTGCAGCATCGAGAGGATCAAGAATGGTGGAAGCATTGGTGAGAGCAAAGCTTCAAGATGGTTACGTTTCATAT